GCCCTATTGTACCTTCTTCCCCCGATTTCGTCACGACAATTACCATGACCCTGGCCGACAAACCTGCCGGTAATGGTCAGAACGGCAAATATCGGGTTGTGGCCGATCGCGTACAGTTGATCCTGACGTCTGCCAACACAACGGGCACAGTAGTCAACGGCACAGGGACTGCAGCGGGCGGCAGGTCCGCGTTTGGGTTTTTGGAATGGCCGTTGTCGCTTTCTTCCAACGTAAGCGTAGCCACGGGGCTACCCAATACCACTGAAACCTTCCTCGACACTGTCGGATTCTCGTTGTTCAACGGTCTTGGCGGAAACACCAGCATCTCCGCGGCTTCGGTCGCCGCTGTCGCCCACCATCCTTCAGGTGCTATCTTCATCGGCGGAACCTTCAACCTTGGCACACCTTCCACTAGTAATATCGTTGTCTTCAAGAACGGTGCTTTAACGGCGCTGTCTGGGCGTGGACTTAATGGGCCTGTCACGTCACTCGTTTTGGATGGCGACACACTATTCGTCGGCGGCTCGTTCACAGATACGCCCACAAATTCCACACAAGGCCGCCTCTCGGGTGTTGCTTCGTATGACGTGGCACACGACCAGTGGTCACCTTTGTTGGCCGGGGTGAACGGTCCTGTCAAGAGCCTCGGGATTGAGAACGATCAGCTGGCAATCGCTGGTAATTTCAGTATTCTTCGCAATGCGCCTGGTAGCAACACTGGTCTAGAATCCTCCGGCTTGGCCTTGTGGAATGTCACCGGCGACGGATGGGTTAACAATGGTGGGTTCTTGGTGGGCAGCCTGACGTTTATCGGAAATGGCACGACGCCAGCCAAGGGCCAACAACAGTCGCAGATCATCGCGGGTAACATTGCAACCTCGCTCACATACGGTGCAACTGGTTTCGTGCTTCTCAAGAATGGGGATAATGGCCAGCCGGCGGTGACCCCTCTCACTGTGCAGCTCGACTCGGATGTCGTCACCACATCGGTGGCCACAAACGCACGCCGTCGCAACAATTACCGTCGTTCTGCGGGTTCATGGTTCTCCCGACATGTGAAATTTCGACAGTTTTTCAAACGTCAGTCCAGTACTTCTCTGGCACCACTTCCGGCGTCACCTCCCGCTCCTGCCCCGGCTGTTCTTGCTGGCACTTTCTGGACCAATACAACAAGTACGGAGCAGGTCGCAATCTTAGGAGGTAACTTCACTTTCACAGACGGGAATACCTCGTCTGCCGGACTGGCCGTATATAACCCGTCGACGGGTGCGCTTACCGCGTTGCAAGGCCAAACGATCAATGGCACAGTACGCACACTGCTCGTACAGGACACGCAGCTATTCGTCGGTGGCGAGTTCACAATCACCGGAACGGACGTTGCAGGCTTCGCGATCTACGACCTCGTGCACAATACCTGGGTTTCGTCTGGTGTGCAAGCGCTCCAGGGTACGAGTGGTGCATCGGTTGTCGTGAGGTCACTCAGCGCATCAGCGGCAAAAACGAACACCATCATTGTTGCGGGCTCGTTTGCGCAGGCCGGCTCGCTACCGTGCCGCGCGATCTGTGCGTGGGATGTCCGAGAACAACAGTGGAATGCACTCGGGAGTGGCATTCAAGGTGACATCGCGTCGGTGGCATACGCAGGGGTGAGTCGTCTTTTTGCCTACCGCGCGTGATCATGACACGTATGTTTCGGGCAGAGCAATCAAGATGTACTTGTAGCTGGCGGCTCTATCACGATTTCGGGGTCGTCTTCAGACAATGTTCTACAGTTCACGTTTAACAACGCCAGCTGGAGTACTCTAGGCGATGGCGCGAGCCTTCCTGGTCCTGTTACCGCGATAACGGTCAATGATGGCAACTCGAGTAGCATCTTCGCTGCAGGACGGTGCGTGTCTACCAACGTATCATTAGTATCGGGTATTTACAATCGATATAGCTCCGTCGACGGCAGCTCGTCTTACTTAGTCACATGGAATGGCCATGTCTGGACATCACAGGGCTCAGTATTCGGGGGCAGCAGCGTTGTCTCGCAGCTTACCATGGTTCCGCTTCAGAACGAACACCAGGCACGAGGAGCGATCGAGGGCGACAGAATGTTGCTAATGTCGGGAAACCTTGTTGATACGTCATTTGGACAAGCGTCGTCGGTCCTGTTCGATGGTCAAGACTTTATCCCCTACATTGACTCGTCGACCTCATCTGGTGACCCCGGATCTGTGTCTGGTCTCTTCAACTCACTTGCAAACTTCAGCTTTGCTCATCGCAGTGAGTCTCATTGAGTTTTTCGTTTTTTCTTGACTCCAGCGTTGACCGCACCCCGCGATGACAGAATTCCTGGCTACTGGCGTAGTCATCCTGATCTCCATCGCCATCGCCGCGGGCATCGTCTTCTTACTCGTTCTGCTCGGAATCTTCTGGACGCTATTCTCCCGTCGTGACGAGGTTCTCAGCAAGTTCGACCCCGCGGATATCGGCGAGGACGATGACTCGGCACAACATCGGCCGTCGTCCTTACTCGCCCACATCAACGCTGCGACGCGCACGACAATACTAGGGAGTCAGAGTCCGTTCCATAATGTCGGCACAGAGAAGGAGCACCCGACAGCCGCGGACGCAGACGCATCAAACACGGGCCATGACCCTCTCTTAGGACCTGATGCAAGCAACTACTTGCGGGCAGAGACGCCATCAGACGCGTTTGGGGGTGCACTAGCAAGTGAGGAGGCGGGACCTGGACGCCTTACGCACGCGCGCTATTCATTCGACGGCAAAGGGGAGGGCGAGCTGCCATTGACCATTGGCCAGGAGCTTGAGATTCTCGATGATCGCGATCATTCGTAAGTGCTTAAAATCCCTTGCGACCCGACCGGCAGTGCTGATAGAAACCCTCAGGTGGTGGTATGCTCGCGACACGCGTGCCGGAAATGAAGGAGTCGTGCCCGCATCCTACGTATATTGAAAAAGTCCCCCGTCTTGTCTAGGATCCATTTCTTATTCTTCATAATTATTTTCCGTTCATGATTTATGTTTTACGATACCTCCAGCCCTCGACCTCGCTATCTGGAACTTTCAGCCTAGATTGTCTTTCGTCCTTCCGCTGTCGTGCTCACTTCGAGTAGTTGTATACCCTACATCATCTAGTCTAGTGTGTCTGACCCCCCCTTTCGGCACAGTCCCGCAATAGCTTGTGGTCTCGTGGTGAATGACCAAATTAGAAAGATTTTTCAGGCCGCATGCTTTATACAACAACAGAAGAGTAGGGAGTCCCAGTAATCGTACAGTAAATGTGTGACATCACTGAGAACGAGCACAGATGAGCAAAAAAAGGTCTAGAGTAATAGTATACGTGGGACTGACCTGGAGCAACGGGTCCCTGTAGTGTTTCTGGTGGTTATGCACGAAAGCGACGCGCGTCTTGTAATCCTCCTTGCGCTTCTGGTCGCGGAACTCGCGGACGTGGCGGCCAGCCTCGCGCGCCTCGCCGCGGTTCCTCGCCTTGACGACCTCCGTACCCGCGCCAAACGCGCCAAATCCGCCCTTGCGCGGCACGAGCGCCGAGTGCTTCCTGTCTGCGAGCAGCCGGCGCACGATCGCGCGACCGGAGTTGGGGTCCTCGGGCGCCCGTCCAGAGAAGGACTGCGCGTAGTAGCGCCGCATGCTGCGATGGCCGATGCGGTTGCCCGAGGGCAGGACGAGCTCGAAGTGCGAGTCGCCGTACGTGATCTGGTTTTCTTCTTCTTCTTCTTCTGGCAGGCTGTCCGTGTCGGATGATGATGATGAGGAGGAGGAGGAGGAAGAGGAAGGCGGTTCGTCGACCACTTCGTCGACCTGGCCGTCGTCGTCGACGTCCTCCCAGCCCTCTGCGGCTTCCGCGGCTGCCCGCTTCGCCCTCCGCTCTTCCTTGCGCCGGCGGCGCTCTTCGGCATCTGGGTACGAGGACGAGAAATCGTAGTAGTCCGAGATCTCGAGCATGTCGCGCTCCGAGTCGTACGCGATCTTGCAGTGGCTCTTGTCGACCATGTGCTTCCGCACCGCGTCGAGAGTCCGGAACTCGCGCCCTTTCCCGTTGCAGTAGATGCAGACGTTGCCCACCGCGATCTTCTCGCCGAGGTACGTGACCAGCCCGGCCGGATCGGTGAGGTATTCGACGTCGGGGATGAAGAAGGAGTGCTCGCCGGACATGTGGAGCAGGTTGTCCGCTATCGAAGAGGAAGCCCGGGCGCAGAAGAGGCAGTCGGTCGGAGAAAGTCGCGAGCGTGCGGCGGCTATCTTCTCGTCCAGCGTCAGGGCGCTTTCGTCGTCCAGGTCGTCTGCTGCGCTTGCGGGCCCAGATGTAGGGGCAGCTGGCGGTGCGTTTTGCTTAGCGGCGTCGATAGCAGCAGGCTGGGGTGTGCCGCCTGCCGTAGACGGCGCCTTGTCTGTCGCGATCCCGACGGGACGCGCGTCGTCTGTCGTTCGTCGGGAGAGTGCCTTCAGTTCGTTCTCTCGGTGCTTCCTGGAGATAATATGCGAGCGATACGCATTTTCGGTGGTATACACTTTGCTGATAACGGTTACCAAAATCAGTGTCTTGGCGCTAACGGGGACAAGGAGGGGGGGCACCCACTTGCAGATTTCGCAGGTCGAGCCCTTGGGCGATACCGCCACAGCGGTCTCTTGCCTTCTCTCAAGCACCTTCTGATTGAAATTGGCGGCACTGACGGGGGGAAGTGACGCAACTCGGCGTCTCATGTTATACCTGTGATGATCTGAGCGATAGTGCTCCCCTGTGGTCCATCAGCCAGATGTAGGAAGGGAGGTACGAGTAGAAGGGACCGTACTCTGCTCCTCTGCGGTGAGAAACGCAATCGAACATGATAAACAGGTGAATAAAGGCCTGTCGTCCTGTGCGGGTGTCTGCACGTCGGCCATGAAGAGTATGTCCGATAACTCTGGTAGAGAGGACGAGTCAGTGCAATGCCACCGGTCCGTAGCTCCGCAGATTAGATGCAAAAAAATCCTTCGAACCGGGATCGAACCAGTGACCTCGGGATTTCGTAGTGTATCCATTACAGTCCCACGCTCTTCCAACTGAGCTATCGAAGGTGACTTATTTTGTACCCTAAAATAACACTACTTAAGGGGCATCGAGCAATTGCAAGCCTTTGTCACATTCCAGTCCATATCGTCCATATCGTACTCTCGACCTCTGGCCGGCTATTTTCGATTATTTCTCGGCCCTCGTGAACTCTGTTGGCCGGCCTAACCTCAATTCACAAAGTCTATCCTACTCAGACTATTCTGAAACCCCACAGTATCTCTGCGCAGCAGCCCCTGCACGAGATCACTTGTTCAATTAAACATAATCCCTGTACACCTTTTGGCACCACAGAGACACTTCGCGTAAACAGCATCGCCGTTATTTGCACGTACATCTTCCAAGTCATTTTCCGGCTCATTCTATAGTATAATCAAAGGTAGCCATAAAATATGATGAGATGGTAGACACACCTCTTCATCCGACTCATACCCAGAGTACGAGAAACAAAGCTCTTCCCAAGGTAGGACATCACGACGTGTGAACAAGGCGACAGTGGGCTTTTCGATATTGCCTTCATTGACATAGCAAGCGTTCGGTGCACAATTTGGGTCACAGCTATGATTCTGTTCAAAGATGCGGTGATACAAGAATGCAGCCACATTGTTCATGGACGTACCAAAAAACGAGTGAACTGAATCCAAGTCAGCTGCTACTGTCCTGCAGGACAAATTGAACCTACGTTGCCAGCATGATATGCATCCATTACATATTTTGCCTGCCATTCTTCGTCGTCTTCTGTGTCATCACCGGCGCTCTTGCGAAGGTAGTAGAAATCCAGTTCGAATAAATACGTCCTTCCGACCTTGTTATATACCCTGAGACAAGTCACTATATGCACTGTAGCAACTTAAAGTTAAAGTCACTCACTTGCCCCTTTCCTCGGTTTCTCTTTCGCTCAGGAGCTCACCAGCGTATAGACCAATAAACGAGCCTTTTGGTATCTTTTGTCTCCCAGCAAAAATACCTATATGACATATCAAGGAACAGTAGAATAAGATGATACACAGACGTACCCCATCCTTTGTTAGTGGTCTTTCGTATGTTGACAGTATATTGACGGCCACGTTGGACAACCTTCATCCAGGTCAATCGTCGACATCCTGGAGGATATTTACATAGGCATACCCTGTTGCGACAGTCATCGAGGCAACCGCAGAGGTCATTGCACTCAAAAATTGGATATCCCCGTCGCTTGAGCCGACCCTTCTCGTCGTAGATAAAACCGGGTATATCTTCGCTATACTCGTGCTGTCTCTTCAGGCAAGAACACGTTTGAGACTTGGGGTCACAGTGACCCTTGCAGTCACAACCGCGAAGGTTGACCAAATCAGGGGGAGGCACGTCGTCACTGTGCCATGTGTGATTACTGTAGTGAAATTCCCATGCAGGTGTCACTTCTTCTTGGTCGCCGTCTACGTCATTGACAATAGAGATATGCGGGGCATTCGGCTCGTCTTCGAAAGTGTTCTCGACGATGACAGCTTCGAACATGTCCTTAGCCATGATTGACTTCCGGTAGTGTGCATCCATGGAGTTCATGAGGTCTTGTACTGAGTGAGGGATATCTCGAGCGTAGTAGACCTTCTGTGGAAACTCCAGCATCGTGCGTTCAGGGGTATATTTGATAACGGAAAGGTCAATCGATTCGTCACACTGAGACAGAGGACACATGTCTGAGCCGTAGAACAGTGAGATACGCTACTTCATCGAATAGCAGGTCCGAGAAGCTCACCGGTTACTGAAGGTTTGCTTTTATCCTGAGGTGTCGCGCGGTTTGTAGAAGAAGATCCAGGGGAGTCTAGCTTGACAACACTCGATTGGGCAGGGTTGGTTCCTACAGGTTTTTTCCACAATAGTGATGGGCGACTTAAGGAGACAATCTTGCTAGGTGACTCGGCTCGTAATGTGCCCGACCTTTTCTTTACCCGTTCCTCCGAGTGTGGCAGTATGCCACGAGAGGACCCTGGTGCTGATACTGGTTTATCTGTTGCAGCTTTGTAAAAGTTCTTCCAAAACCCCAATGGACCACTATACAAAGTCCCACGGACAGGCACAGACGGCGAACCTGTCGGGGTGCCAGCAGAGGTATCACGTCGACGACTGGGAGATGAAGATACGGATACGTGTGCTGTTGTGGGGGAGTGCGAATTGCCACCAAATTGGGGCACTGAACCCACCAGCGATGGGGACAACGGTGGCCCAGATGGTAGTTCGCCCTCATCATTAGGGTCATATCCTGGGGACTGCGGCCTCGGCTGAGTTTTCGCATTTGCTCTGACAGTCAAACTGGTGGAAGGTGAGGGTGAGTCTACACGCATAACGGAGTGCATGCTCGGTTGTGGGGACTGCGGTGGCTGTTCAGGAGTTTTAGCTTTGCAAGACTGTCCCGGAACTGGCGACATCTCCTCTACCACACTGTCGCCCTGAGCCGTTGTGAGAACCGCGAGTACACTTTCTTCGCTTTCACTAGACATAGGAGGTGAGCTCCCACGTTGCGGAGAACGTGGGCCTGCTAAGCTAGTTGGAGACTTCAGGTGACTGTTATGGGGCGAGGACGTGGACCGAACGGCATCCAAAAACGAGGAGACAGCAGGAACTCGTTCTTTAGGGTGGGGTTCTACCTCGTCATCGCTATCAAGAACGATGGGGTTGCTCGCATGCCCAGGTGTATCGTCATCTGAAGACAGAACAATAACCTCTCTAGGATTACCTGGGAGTTTTACTTGAACATCTTGACAGAAAGATTGTTCTCAGTATCTGCCTTGCTGTGGAAGAGGAGATGGAAAATGTGCCAATAACACTAACCTTTTGAGCGAGTACCTGTATTGCGTGTCCTAGGCGGCACGCCGTTACCTGGAGACAACAAATTACCGAAACCCAGTCATCGACGAAATGTTGGACATACTAGTACTGGGTGATGCCAGCTTAAGTAGCGAATGTATCAGTTCCCGATTTCGCGTCAACACGACCTTTTTCTTTGCCCTCTTCATGGCACTAGGCGAAACAGTGCTTGTGCGAGATTCAAGTGCGGTTTTTAATGGGCTCGAAGGAGCACCGGATTCCACAGAAGGCATTCCCGGACGGCGGGATGTATCGGTGCGAGCGAATTTCTGAGGCCGCTCCGCGGGGGGTAAGGCAGCCCTACGCTTTGGAAGGGAATCTTTGGCTGCTCTGCCCGCGCGTTCAGATTCAGAGTCTTCATTGCTCTGTGCAGACAACGATTGCGAGTCTATGAACGTGCTGAAGGGTCAGCACGAGGCGACTCGGGTCTCGCGCTGGAGTCACTGACCTGACAAAATCTCCCATTGAGGTGCCGACGCGTCGCGATACGCAGACATTAAGTATAAACCCAAGTCGCAGCAACCGTGAACGAAACAGGTCGAAGAGGAACAGTTTACAGCGCCGTGTCCGACTGGGACTAGACCTGGATTGATCTCGCCGCGTCGCCACAAAATCACATGACGAGGCAAAAAAATGCGTATGTAATCAGAGCAATTGATAAAACAATGTTATTATTTTTGGTAGTTCCAAACGTGTCTAATGCATTTCCAAACTACATCCCCTTCAAACGGATTCTGTCGGACGCAGACATATGGGTGAGTTCAAAAGAACATAAAACAAAGAAACTTGGCACCCACGTTGAAGAAGACTGTTGAGCTTGTTGATGCGTGATGAAACGCTGAGGTCGATAGTCTTCTCTCCGAAGTCGACAACCAGACCACCAAGAACGGAAGGGTTCACCTAAGCAAGTTCAGTGGCATGTCAATCACGAAAGACCTTTGGGGCGCACTTTATTCGTCAGCTTCAGTGACTTTGCTTGCTGAGCGGTTTGGGATTGCTTCAACGTAGCTTCCAGACGGGTGAGCACGTCTTTGGTAAGAGGCACAGCCGAGGTGACCGTGACATTGAGCTCGCCCTTGTGCTTCGCCACCAACTCGTTAAAGCCCTCAATAACCCCCGTTGTTTCTCCAAGTCGTCCGTTCTCTGAGAGTATGATGAAGAGATTCCTCGTAATGTCCGACACGGGTTCCTTCTTCGCGCCTGTACCTTCGGCACGTGCATAAAGACCTGAAAGACCTGCGTTTCTATCTTTGACAGAAAGCGTGGGATTTGTCACGAAAGTCTTGAGTTCGGGGGTGTCCCCAATGGACTTCGAGATGGCGTTGAGCTCGGTTTGGACCTTCGTCAGGACCTGTGGAGACTTTGCGAGTGCAGCGGAGAATGTGGCAGTAGCATATTTAAGTGCAATGCCGGAGGCTGCTCGACGCCCAAAGCCGGTTGTAGGGGCGCATGTACGAAGTAAAGAGAATGACATGGCGAACAATCGAGAACGGAGATGAGTGCGGACAACTGGGAATGGGCATGTGACACGATGTGACAACAATCCGTCACAATGATTATATAATACAGATATTCCATAGTTGGACAAGTTGGACACCGGGTAGACACCGGGTAGATCGGCCCTTTCTCCTTCCTAGACTATCAACTTCTAACTTAATTGCGATTACATGGCTGAGCTTTTATCGACTTATCTTTGATGCTCTCACCTCTCGCCAATCCAGTACAGACGCTGGCCTCATTCTGTCTTATCCTGGTATTCTTGGCCATTCGAGTTGTTACGCTTATAAACCTGCTTTCACCGTGCTTTCCCTATTCTCTCTCAATAAGCAATCTGCTACTGTTCCGCGGGTAACTGTGTCGTTCTCATCGACGCGAAAGCGATGAACAACCTGTTCGCGTTCTGGATTAGCATGGGAAAGGTGTGATCATGTTAAAGCCGATAGCGCTCGTACCACGCGACAAGAGTTACGACTATAATTAGCCAACTCTATCCACTGATACACATGGTCTGGGACCAAGTGGTCAGGGTAGGGCGTTATTCTAGGCATAGAAGACAAGAAGCTACAGTGCCCCAAGTTGGTCCAGCGTTTCCCGGGCGGCCGAAGCACCCGCCTCTACTTCTACTTTAATGTGTCGTCAGCTTGGCTTGTATCCTCCATCGTCC